TAAATGTATGCCATTATTTAATAAATAGTATATGTAAGCATAAAATTATAATATATAAAGTATTATAATTTTTTTTTTCTAGCCCCGGCTATCAACCTGCTAAATTTTATAATTTTGCCAGTGCCAGGGCCCCGGTCACTTACTAAATCAAAGGAAAAAAAAGATATTAAAAAAAAATTACCATATTACTTATAAGATTGAAAATCACATGGGAAAACAAGAAGAAGGGAACATTTACTGAGGGTGAGTTGAACTATAAAAATACAGACGTATAGACTCATTTTTAAAAAAAAAAAGAATTAGAAAAATTTTTAATTTTTATTTTTAAGTTGTCGTGAATAATTTAGTTAACATTATCATAATGATTTGGATTGTGGTCTTTTCTAAAACAGAAATAAAAAACATTGTCAAATGTACATCATTAGTAGATAGAAGTTTAATAAGAAAATACAGAGTCATAATCTGATTATTTTATTTAATGTTTTGAAGCATTTTATTAAATTTTTATTACTATACCAAACAAGTTTTACTTACTAAATTAATTCTAATGAATAATAAACAGTTGTTTTATTGACCAATGGCCAACATTTTTTTTATTGACCAGTGGCCAACATTTGGTTGAGACAATAATTGTTAAAAAATATCAATGTTTAATAAAGTTAGTTACTATCACTTCCTGCATTTCATTATTTTATCACTTTCTACATTACACATGTCACAACATGTTTTATATGATGGACCAATTAATATTTTATTTAATTTGGCATTTAATAGTTTATAAAATTGAGCCTTAAAGGTAATTCATAGTCAGAATGTAATAATCATTAGAATATCGTAACAGATATAAACTATCTAATTTTGTTTGCTTTTTTTTAAATTTAGCCTAATAAACTTGTTTAACTCCTTCAATCCATAGACAAATCAAGTTTATGTCCAGATATAATAAATGAGGGAAGATAGTAAAAGAAGAGGGATGGGAGACTAGAAACTAGAGGAATGAGTTTTTGGAGCATTTAGAAACAGTCACAGGAAAAGGATGAGATTTAATCGAATGTTGAGTAACACGAGAATAAATTTTAGTATATGGCACAAGAGACGCTAGTTCTTTAGAGCAGTGCCCATTATAGTATTTGTAGAAAAAAGAAAGAGAAGCAATATTACGACAGTGCGATAATAGTTGGAGGTTGGCTGCAAGAGCAGGTCCAACTATGTTTTTAATGAATTTTTGCACCTTGTCTAAAATAGAAAGGGCATCATTAGAAGATCTGCCCCAGATATGGGAACAGTATTCCATACACCGCGGAATTTGAGATTTATTGAGATAGAGAATTGAATCTGGAGTAAGAAAGTGTCAAGCTTAATAAAGAGATGCAACCTTAGCGGATGCTAATTTTACAATGGATTTGATATAGGGTTTCCAAGAAAGGCCGGAAGTAAGAGTTAATTCTAAAATCAAGGGTAGATAACTCATCAAGTACATTACTGTTCATAAATAAAGGAAGATCTAAATTATTACGTTAACGATTGGCTAAAAAAAATAGGGTTTTATCTGAATTAAAGTTGACCAGTCATTGTGAGCCCCATGCTAAAGCAGAAGTGAGATCCTTTTCAAGCTCAAATGCCCCTTCCAAGCAATCAGAGAGTGTTGGCTTCTTATCGTGACAAGAATAAATAGTTGTATCATCAGCGAACAATGCCACCTTAGATGTAAGAATATCTTGAAGATCGTTAATGTAAATTAAAATGAGTATAGGGCCAAGGATTGAACCTTGAGAAACCACTGAAACCGTTGAAAACGGCTGAACCCTTGAAAATTGTTGAACCGCTGAAATCGTTACAGAGTATGAATAAGAGTTCTGTCCTTTGAGGACAACTTTTATACTATGATTAGAAAGGAAGGATTTAATAATCTTAAAGATGTTACCTGAAACAAAGTAAGAAAAAAGCTTATGGAGAAGACCAGCATGCCAAACTTTTTCAAAAGCTTAAGAAATGTCAAGAGCAATAGCCTTATCCTTTCCCCCTTAATCTAATGCATGATAAAACGTTAAATTGCTGTTAGCAAGTTAGCTATAAAATGAGAAGATCGAAATCCATATTGATGATCAGTTAAGTTATTAGATTCAAGATGAGAGGTTAAGTGGTTGTTAATTAAAGATTCAAAAACCTTGCTTATGATAGGAAGAAGACTAATGGGATGGTAGTCAGAAGAATCAGATCGCTCTCCAGAATTTTTGAAAATTGGGATAACAGATACCGCTTTCCAGCAGGCTGGAAAACAAGATTCTGATTGAGAGGGAATAAAAAATTCTATGCCAGCCTGTGATGAGCATTAAATTCACTAACAAATACAATATTGGCTGATGGATATAGAGAGAGGGCTTTGTCAATTTGATCACAAATAACATCAAAAATATTTCTGCCTTGAGATGAAGGAGAACGATATAAAGAAAGGCAATAGAGTGAAGTGGTGCTCAACGAAAGCACATAAAAGAATATTCTGTGGATTCAAACCTAGTTTCCCAACAAATGGGTGAGTTCTTACAAATGTAAATGTGACTATTGTAGTCTTTATGAATTCAAGGAAGATAACCATTAACACTGAGATCACAAGATGAGACAGCTGAACTCTTAAAAAACTTAATAAACCCTAAGCCATTTTAAAGCGCTCCAAATGTGGCCACTCCAAAAGTACAAATGACACTATTCATGCACAACATGGCACTGTTAATGCTTTGATATGTTTCAGCTGTTGGAATGGAATCAGCTTCTCTGAGAGCTACCACAGAGTTTGGGAAACCTGACTACCTGCTGGCTTCAGAACCATAAAACTGATTTTTAGAGCTGTACCCTCATTAGGAGATAATAGAATGAGTTGTCTAGTCAAAAAAACAGATACCAGCAAAACCCAGTTAAAGAGATCCAGCATTCAACATCCTAAACTGGAAACAATATATTAAAAATATATCTGCACCAGCCTAATTGATGAAGAAGGGCTGCAAGGCTGGTCAACAGATAGAATCTGTTTACCCCTTAATTCTTTGTCTAGGAGGCCTTCTACAAGACAGTAGCAAGATGCATTTAAAATCTGCCCAAGATGAGTATTTTTTTTGAGACACTATCTCTAGCCTTTACTCAACCAAGTAGTTATTTTTAGGCTTTCCATTTTCTAGTAAGTTCTTTTTTATATTTTGTGCACTTAAATGTTTATAGTATGTGGTTATATATTTTCAGTTAGTTTGTTTTAAACATCTCATATACATTGAAGTTCCAATCAAAGCGCCTATATGTGTCATAAAAAGTACTTTTTACCAGCTAGTGTTTTTTCCTTTAAAACAAAACGCAGCTTTTGTTTATAAACTCAATTGTTTTTGTCAAATTAGATATACCTTATGCAAGAATCACACTTAATTAATACGGTCAGAGTAATACTAGGAATATAAAAGATAAAGGGGCATGCATAAAGTACATAAACAGTAATACCACTAATTAAGACCCCTTCGCCCTGCCTACCATATATGCACCTGTTGCTCTATTACTTAACATATATTTATTTTTTAAACTCAAGAAGTTCAATGCTAAAAATAAATAATCAAATTTTACAAGAGAAAGAGAACAAGAGATTAAACCATGTATATACTCTCTGTTTTGAAATTATGCCCTACAATAATTTATTGCAATCTAATGTGTCGTTCCAATATCTGATTTTAAAAAATGGATAGAAAATCTTCAAACTAATCGACAAAGAGGGTTCTAATAGTAATGTATTTTTAAATGATAGATGATCCTCTGTTGTAAAAGATTGCAGAGAACAATCTACTACAACAGAGCATTTGTTAGATAATAGTTATTTTTTAGATAATAGTTAATTTTAAAAATATAACATTTTTTAGAAGATAATAGTTAAAAAAGTTTTTAAAGTCGTTTAATAGATCATTTACCTTACTTAAAAGATATTAGAAACAGTTTTTTAGAAACGTTTTATTTATTTAAAGTTTATTTATTTAAAAAATATTAAAAAATGCTTGTTTTACAGAGTTTTCATTTTAAATGTATTTTAAAAATAAACCAAAAAAGTCAACCAAAAATGTCAACCAAAAATGTGCTTTTTTAGTAGATGTTATGTAATTTAAATGCTATAAGTATATTTCTCATTTTGTATTACATACAATAAGTATGTAAATATAATGTATGTAATAAAAATAATTAATTTTAGTATTACATACAATAAATTGCCAATCAATACAATCCTAAATTATCAATTGACCACAGACCAGTTGAGGCCGAATAGTGTTTTTTTTTGTTTATTAAGTAAAAAATTCTAAAACTCATATGGTTTAATTATGGATATTATTTTTTAAAAAACAACTAATAAACAATTTTAAATTTATGTGTAATCAGGTTTGACTGAGGCTCTTTATGTGTAATTTATGTGTAATCAGGTTTGAATGAGGCTCTTTATGTGTAATTTATGTGTAATCAGGTTTGACTGAGGCTCTTTATGTGTAATTTATGTGTAATCAGGTTTGACTGAGGCTCTTTATGTGTAATTTATGTGTAATCAGGTTTGACTGAGGCTCTAAGAATCATAATTAGGACAGTGTGTTTAAAACAAGATAATATTGTCATAATATTGTCATAATATTGCTGTCATAAGTAACACAATAAGTAACATAATAAACAAGATAATATTGTCATAATATTGCTGTCATAAGTAACCACTTTAATATTTAAAGATGTTCTCTTATGTGAAATATTTATGTTTTAGATTATTCAGTTTTTTGTATTATTAAGTCTCATTTTAACCTAAAAATTTTATTTAAATTAAAAAATTAGTTTGCTGATTTTAATGAAGTAAAAAGTTAGTTAAATAATTTTTGTGAAGCAAAATAGTTAAGACATTTACTTATTTATTTGTAAATACAATGCAAAAATTACTTTACAAAATATTATAGTTTTTGCTCAAAATGTCAACTATACATGTTTTTATTTATTTATAGCGTCTACTACGCCAAGATTATCAACACTAACTTTAACAAAGTCAATAAATACAATGGATCATCCGTTGACTACACAGACTCCATTTTCAAGTAATTTTTGAATAATTTTTGAACAATTTAATAACATACATTTGTATATATTTAGATACATTATAATCTTATTAAACTATTTCCATGTTTTTCTACTAGCTTCCTAAACAACTGAAATGACATGATGTTCTTAAACAAATGAAATATCTTATAAAAGAATTAGTTCTTAGGCCATTTTAATATTTTATTAATGATTTTATTAATTAGTTTTGTTAAATCACATTTTTTTTACATTTTTATGTTTATAAACATATTCATATATTTGTAAACCTTACTTATGTACATATACACAGTAATACATTACATATATACAGCAAATTGTTCATGCTTTACTTTGTTGCCATGACTAAAGTCATGGTAACAAAGCAAAACATAAACAATTCGCTAGTGAACAAGTCAGTGCACTAGTAAATAGATTCTAAAAAAAAAGAGGTTGATTCTGACAAGCTGAACAACTAATAATACATATTGTTTAATTGCCTTTTTGTAAAAGTTCTTATATATTAATTCTTATATATAATAATAAAGATTCTTACTAGCTGAGATCTGACCTGTAAAAATATGGGTCTTAGCAAGTCTATTCCCAACCGAACATTTTTATACTTTTTCTCTATACTATACTTTTTCCCTATACATACTTTCCGGATCCATAAAATATGGGTCTTAACCAATCCTACTATTTCTATCCATATCTATTCTGCACTGATTATTTATATACCTATTCTTTATTCAATTCAATATTTTTTAGTAAAACAATTTATTGTGAAAAAAATGTTCAAGAGTAAAAAACTTAACATGTGCACCTTTTTCGATATGTAGATCTTATAAAAGACTTATTAGGTTGTTTTTTCTACTAAATGCATTTCATTTGATAGCTCATTAGTTAAGTGCGCTGTCATCAGTTTTGTTTTGTGGGGTTTAAGACTTTCCCTTAGCATAATAAACTTAAAATTTTTTTTAATAATGCTTATATACTTATTACAAAAAAATAATAATGTAGCAAAAAAGATTTCTAAAATTTAAAATAAAATTTTAAAGTTTTCTCATTTTATAGATATATTATATGCGATTATCTCTATATAATGCATGCAAACTCAACATATGCCAAAGACATTTACACTTACAAACGTTTGTATGTAACGCTATAAAAATGGAACTAAGAAGATCTTACACCACTAAAATATAGTCATAATAAAAAAGTGCATTCTAATGATTGTTATTAAAAACTTAAGAATAATATAGCCTTAGCTATTAAACGCTATCAAAAAGTTAAGCCAAAAATATTTTGCGCATTGATGTCGGTTTGTGGCAAAATAAACCTTTTTGCTTGAAGTTTTCTTTTGCATCTTACATTTGATTAATTTTAATTGTTGCATACAATTTTATAAAAATATTTAAAACCGGTACAGATATATTATTTCACGGATGAGAGATTGTATTTATTACTATAGTAATAAATAAATAGTTTTTGTCTTTATTAGAATATATTCCTTAAAAATATATTCCATCTATCTTTAATAGAAGGAGTTTTTTAAAAAAAATTTAAATCAATTTTTTTTTTGTTTGTTTTTTTAGTTTTTTGCCACAAAGTGATGTCACATATGCAAATAAATTGTGGCTTCTACGATTTACGAAAAAGCCTTGTCTATCATTTTTAACAGTCTAAGAAGCAGATAAGGTAATTTTAGCAATCAGAAATGGATGGATGAGACAATATGTGTCGTGTTTTTTAAATCTTGTCAATTTTTTTAAACATAAATAACACACATACAAAAAATCAAAAAAAAAGTTTACTTATATTACATACGATCCTGAATAAAACGTTATATAACTGTGTGTTTTTTGAGTGGATTTTTTTTTACATTTTATAAACAATATAGATAAATAAATAACATATTTGTTTATATAGGGATGGTTAAGCGCCAATCCTGCCTATACAATAAAGTTTAAAAGAAAATTAGTTTTGTATTAAAAAACAATTTATATGTTTCTTTGCAAACACCGATAGAATACTTGAAATTTTTAAATGCACTGAATTGCAATTACTTTCAATTTTTTTTGGTTTAGTGGCATTTGTTAAGAGCTTTTTGTGTCAAATTATCTCATTTCAACATATTGGTTGTATCATCCATTCTGCATCCGTTTTTCAAAACGCTTTAAGAAAAAAAAACGTTATTGAATAGATATTTTCAAAGAGTTCTGAAAAAGTTCATAAAAATTATTCGTTTCAAAAAACATTTTTTTTTTTAGGAGAAACAATATCAGAACTGAAGCTACTTGGTGTAGTTAAGGCAATTTACAAATTATTTGAACTCTTTTATTTGGAATTAGCATGATTTTATCAGCATATTACGTCCAAACAAGAGCTTTAAATGTTATAATTTTTTTTTGCTTCAGGTGTTTATAATATTTTAAAAAACTTTTCTTTTTTTTTTATAATTTTTAAAACATTTTTACTAACTCTAATAGTGAATCTAAAGAACACCATTTTGAAGTCTTTAGATCACTTTCGCTCATCAGCGTTAACATGAACTAATTTAAAATCTTTTGAAAAAGTGCCAAAATGGAAATATGTTGTACTACATATTCCCATTGACTACTTAATCAACAAAATATACAGACGCTATAATATTTAAAAATTTTAATATTTAAAAATTGCCTTGACTACACCAGTAATTGATATCTTTCAAAAAATAATATAACATTACATTTTTATTGCAGTTTTAAACCTTTTTAATGCTACTTATTTTTAAAATGAAAACATAGGTTAGTGCTAATATATATTAAAAATGTTTTCTCTATTTTATTTGTTTATCAAAATTCCAATGATAATTTTACCCTATATAATGTAACTTTAACATTTACCGCATAAAACATACTGTCAATATTACTTAATATAGGGGTAACTTTGATAGTTGAAAAATCGAGATTAATTTTTGCCCAAAGATGCTAAATTATTATTTGTTTTAAAAATGCTTAGCTTTTTTAAAACAAATAATAATCAAATTCAGTTGTTTGTATTTATAAAATTCGAATGAGCAAACTTGTTTTAGATTTAAAGAGTTAAGAGAGGTTTGTAACCACATCAAGATTTGTAACCACATCAAGGTTTGTAACCACATCAAGGTATCCTCATTGACTGTATTGGCCTTCCCAGCCTTAAGAGGTGAATAACATAAAAGATAAAAAAGTGACAACCCGTAAAAATATTCGAATAAAAATCGTGATAATGTATTTCCAAATATTAGATTCAAGTATAGTAAATCTGCTCTGATAGCTGTTATTGTTGGTTATAATAGCTAATAATAATATTTAATAATAATTTAGTTAATAATAATAGTTAATAATTAATTTAGTCAATAATATAATAGTTATAGTATTATTGTTGGTTATAATAGTTTATAATATTTTAAAATATCTTTAAAAAAAACCCAATAAAACTCAGATTACCCGGGTTTTATTGGGTTTTTTTAAACGAGTTTTATTGGGCAGGTTTTTTTGGGGTGGTTTGTTAATGCCAACCCTGGTTGTAAACTACATAAAGAGGCGGTTCCTTGCTGCTGAACCATAAATCATTAAAGATATGCTTACCTTCATACTGCCTTTAACTCACTCTCGGTAGTATAATTGTCTAAAGTTCCTCTTTTTATGTTGTTTAAATTAATATAATATAATAATAATGTAGTTAATAGTATAATAATTATAATAAAAGTTCCTCTTTTTATGTTGTTAAAATTTACTTTTCATATTAATATTTCTTTGCTTTTTACGTTTTCGATGGTCTTTTTCCTTCTCACTACATTGTAGCATCATATGAAGTATAGATTCGACTGTTAGGCTTTTTATTGTAAATTTTTGTTGTAGTAAATATATTTTCATGGTTTTAAATATGATAGAAAAAATCTAATAACATTAGAGGCAAATAAAATTACATTACATATACTCCGTAGTTTATTAAAAATAATAGAATAAGTATAACATCAAGTATAATTGGATGAGATAAAAATGAGTTTTAAGATAAGTTAAGCATTTCACATTTAAATAAGTTTAAAAATTTTTTATTAAAGGCATTTTTTCAATTTTGCACCAAGTGTCCAGAGTCATATCGTTTTAAATGTCTTCATTTTTATAGGATTATCTTAAAAAAATGTAAATGTTTCAAATTTTATTCTTTTTAAAAAAGTTTGATAAACAAAAAAAATCTTTTAGTAATAGTGTTTTTGTTCACTTGTCATGTGTTCAAAGTAACCACATTTTACGTAAATAAAATTATAAAAATTGTGAAAATGATTTTAAATGAAATAAAATTATATTTGTAATAAATAATTTTGTTTACACTGCTGTTGTCTTTTTTTGCATTTAATATTTTAATTTAAAATCTAAAATAAAATTTGTTGTTTTTTTTAGATTCAATATTTATCGATTTGATAAATGGCAACACAAGTACAAATTTAAGTAACTTATTAATTATTGTGATATTGTTTTTATTTTAAACTTAACATTATGTTCTAAACTAGATTTATGATTCCAAAAAATGTGAAAACTAAACAAGGTTATGGTCTAAAGAAAAAAAAATTTATTTTGATTTTTTGATTGAATAAAAAAAATTAGTTTATTTTTTTCTTGAAGCAAAAAAATAGTTTATTTTATTTTTTGAAGTACAAAATGTATTATAAGTTTAATAACACAAGATATTCTCTTCAATAAATAAAACTGTTATTTAAATTTTAACTCTCAAATATTTTCTTTACAAAAACCAGTTCAACATATTTACAAAAATTAGTTTAAAACTATCAAAATCATATATGTGAGATAAAATGTTCTAGTGTTTTCAAATATAAAATTACTCTCCTCCTTGACTTTTAAGGGTCCTGCAAACAGCAAGTTAAGTATTTTTTAAAATTTAGATTCTTTCCCAACAAGGTAGCAAGCAACCATTATTACAGTGGGAGTATTTTGTATTAAAAAAAGTATTTTGAGTCCTTGAGCCTTCTGTTGCAAGGATTCATTTGTTTCCCAGAGTCTGTTTTTTAGCTTTGATGTTTATTTATGATACATCTTCCTTGGCTATTTACATCTATGATTTTGAAAATTATTTTTTTTCGAAATATTCCAAGTATTTGTAGCTTGCTGTCGTTTGGTATGGCACTTTGCATTTGGTGGTTTTTAAACAGACTTCATCGCTGGTTTTTTTTATCTTACATTTTTTGAAAACAAGCAGCATGAAACCTAATATGCAGTCTTTAACTAGGAAGTTCCTCATCATTTCAGTTTTAGAAATTTGCTCAAATTTGGCTCTCTATCAGTATTTCACATGACACTCTTTCAGAGATTAGATAGAGTGTTCAAACTTACTACACTTTGGTATGAACTCGACAGTTGTTGCCACAATGCCTATATTTAATATGTTTAAACATTTTTAAATCTAGTGACTATGACCACATTAATGATTATCACCACATTTAAAACTACTTAAACATATAACAAAGATTGTTAGTTTAAAACTAACAAAATCATAAACCATAAAAAGTAATTTCATGAAATATTTGAGTGTTTTTACATAGAGTTACAGAATTTGTTTTTATCTGTTTTGAAATTCCAGATAATTTAATTATCCTTATATACCCAACATAAGTTAAGTATCAACATATTAAATTGCAATTATTTAAATCTTGCTCTGTGTCTCAGTAAAACAATTACATTAAAAAAATTTTTTTTATTGAATTAACTGCAGAATTCATAAATATTAAGTTCAGTGTGTAATGACATCATTAGTGTTTATGACTTTTTCTACAAAAGATGCTTTTTTTTTTTTTTTTCTATTTGAAGCAAGGAATTGTTTGTTGCAGGAAACCAACTCAGAATTTCTTATTACTATTTCTATTCAGTAAATCACTAATGCTTGCTTTGTAAGCCAAAGGTATGAGGTTTGAACCACCATATCACTTGAAGTACTTTTTCTCTGCACAACAGTTTTTCAAGGTTTGTGTTTTGTAGTCAAACGCCTGAAAGGTGTACCAGTTGTTTGTATTTATAAAATTCGAATGAGCAAACTTGTTTTAGATTTAAAGAGTTAAGAGAGGTTTGTAACCACATCAAGGTTTGTAACCACATCAAGGTTTGTAACCACATCAAGGTTTGTAACTACATCAAGGTTTGTAACCACATCAAGGTTTGTAACCACATCAAGGTGTGTAACCACATCAAGGTTTGTAACCACATCAAGGTTTGTAACCACATCAAGGTTTGCAACCACATCAAGGTTTGTAACCACATCAAGGTATCCTCATTGACTGTATTGGACTTCTCAGCCTTAAGAGGTGAATAACATAAAAGATAAAAGAGTGACAACCCGTAAAAATATTCAAATAAAAAACGTGATAATGTATTTCCAAATATTAGATTCAAGTATAGTAAATCTGCTCTGATAGCTGTTATTGTTGGTTATAATAGCTAATAATAATATTTAATAATAATTTAGTTAATAATAATAGTTAATAATTAATTTAGTCAATAATATAATAGTTATAGTATTATTGTTGGTTATAATAGTTTATAATATTTTAAAATATCTTTAAAAAAAACTCAATAAAACTCAGATTGCCCGGGTTTTTTTTTTTTGCCAGGGTTTTTTTTTTGCCAGGAAAGCTGGAGTTTTTTTATGGAATTATGGCCTCTGAGGTTTATGTTAACATTCTCAATAAAGACCTTCTAGACTCAACTAAAAAATTGCGATTTTGGAAACAATTCATCATCCGACAAGACAACAACCCTAAGAATACATTAAAAATGGCACAGTTTTTTTTATCCAGAAGCAGATCGAGTTACTTGAAAGGCCGGTTTAAAATCCAGATCATTTCATTATTTTAAACTTTTTAAACGCCTTCTAGACAGGATCCAAAAGTGTATTGTAAATGTAGTTGGAACTGCTTCAGATGCCAAGCCACTTTCCCATTGTTGTAAAGTTACATTTTCTTTTTTTTATATAAAAGAATTATCAAAGCTGCTGCTCAATTGAGCTATCCTCTTTTATTCAATCAACCAAAACTCACTTTTCCATGAATCATCATTCAATATCCCTTTACTCTATCTGTCCCATCATGCTCTAAAAACTTTGATAAATTTGGATTTTCCTCACTGATATAATTAATAATTTTTTAAAGCTTTTAATGCAATAGTATTTGAGTGGTAAGTGTTTGCTTTGAAGCTTATTAACTTTAAGAAAAAAATTTTAAAAAATTAAGAAAAAAATTTTTTTCTTTTTTATTTGTAAATTTTTTTATATTTTATTAAATTTTTATTTATTTTTTTATTTCATTTGTTGTATTTTTTATTTCATTTTGATTTGTATTTTTTGTTTATTTTAATTTGGTAAGCTGATGTTTTTACCTAAAAACCTGTAAAACTTTTGTGACATATGGGTAAACACAATATTACTTTGATTTATATAAAGGTTTAGTTAGTATAATAAACAGATCTTGGATTTATTTCTTTGAACTTAAACTGAATAAATACAAAAAGTCAGTGATAATGAATTCTTTATTCAAAACTCTTTCTTCTAGTATCTCAAACAAATTATTGACACTTTAGTGTCAATAATAGAATTTAAAACTATTTTTATTGTAGTTAGCTTATGTAACTTTCTAGACTATTAACATACTCAGAGCAAAGAAACTGTTATTACTTTAGGATCAAGTTTGTCGAATCTTTATTTATTGACAGCTTTTCTTTTAGTAGTTTTGCCATAAAATCTTGAACTTGAAGATTTCATCTGAAGTGATTCTTGTTACTTTTAGTTCCCCAGTTTTTACAGCAGAGATAATTTAGTTATACTCTTCCGGAGTGTAGATTTGGTCTTCTTTTATAATAAACCATTATGCTATTTTTTTTGATGATGTTATTAGAAATATTTCTCTATGGTTATATTTTTTTAAAAAATCTGTTCAACAGCTCATTATGTTTTTTATTGCTTTAAAAGTTATTGAAAAAGCAGTTGACAAATCTAGACTAATAACCTTTAAAAATTTTGTTAACCAGTTTGAAGAAAGGAGCATATTTTTATTTCCTTCTTCAAACTCTTACAAAATTTTTTAGTCAGCAAAGTATTTATAATTAGGTGTTCAGCAAAAACCTTTTTTGTGCTCAGATTATCAAGTCTTCCTTTCAATATAATGTTTTGATGATGATTTTAATGTTTTTTTGCACTTTAGTTTCATGGGGAGAATGGAGTGCCTGGTCAAGTTGTAATGACTCATATGGCAAAGGTTTTATGAACAGATTTCGGTATTGCAATGTGTCAAATGAATGTTGTTCCGCTAACTATTTAGATGTAAAAGAATGTTATGGTAATTTTTTTTTATAAATTCACCGGAACCATGCTTTGCAGCTGTAGCATAGTAGTTTAAACTTAAGATCAAATGGTCTAAAGATAAAACTTACTTAAATTGCAAAGCATCATTGGCAAGGAAGAAAATTTTAAAAATTTTCCTTCTTACTACTGATAGACTATCAATGGAATCAAATCAGTGATTAAACAAGTTCTTAACTCTCAAGAAAGTAAAAAAGTTACCTAATGTTATCAGTATTATAAAGAATGCTGTTTACAATTTTATTTTTATAACTTTATTTATTTAGGAGAAAATTTTTTTATTTTAAATATGTTTTATGGTTTATTTTAAATACAACTTTATTTTAAATAATGCTCTTAATATATACGGTTATATTTTTTAGCTTATTGTTATAAGTTAAGCAATTTATTAAGTAGCATTTTGCATAGTATAAATGGAAGAAACGGATTTTGCAGGATTTTGCATGTCCAATACTGTCCCTAAATTTAAAAATAAATAAATAAAAAAGGTTAATGACTCATGAAGTAAATGAGTTTATTTTAAGTTTTTTGCTTTACTTTGATGTTTATTTCAATTTTATTTAAAGTTTTTGGAATAGGTCAAATTTTTTATTACTGGAGCTGTTCTTATTCAACCTGCTTTACAAAACTACTAAAAATTCATATACCTTAAAGTTCAGAATTTACTGTGTGTTATTATGCAAATTAATTAGATAAATATATATATTTTTTTTAATTATGTTTTGAAATAAAAATTTTATCTGTTTTTTTTTTTGATTTATTTGTTTTTGATGTTGCATTAATTTTTTGTGTTAAGTACTGTAATGATTATGATATTGGTTGTGTTTAATTTTGAAAATTCGTTTTAATATATATATTTTTAGATTCAATCGTTTTTGATGAGATAGCAGGTTTCACAAACACAAGCCTAAATTTTTTTTATGAAGAATTTGTGGTATCATTTGAAATATTTATCAATAAATCAGGGTATTTTCTGAGTTTAGACAATAATGTAATGAGTTTTTATAGTTGGGAGAATACCTTTATAGTAGCAGTTCTACTAAATGATGAAATCTTCATAAGAAATATATCAATATCAAAATATACTTGGAATGCAATCAAAGTATCTCAGTTATTTAACGAGAATGACAACACTTTCATTACAGCAATAGTTGTTAATGGAACTGTTTTGACTTCTGCTATCAACTCTCAACCAAAAGTTTTTATTGATGTCAATGTGACCACTTTCTTTAATTGTTATAACGTTTCAGAATGTTTTTATGCAACAATTAAAAATTTATCAATTTACAGCAAAAAAAAAGGTTTGTTCCATTATTATGTATAATATTAAGTTTGTTTTTTTAAGCCAAATATTTTTGTTTTGCTTCTTTCTCTTAATGACTTAAGTACAAGTGATGTGACTTAAGTGTACTTGATGTGACTTGATGTTACAATTGCTCAAAACTTCTTATTTACTATCTGTCACCCAACTTTTTAAATAATTTTCCAGATAATTCTATCTATTTAACTTACCTTTGTTACTTGATTTCTTATCTCTGACCAATATTTATACTTAATATCTCCTAATCCTCTTAATATCTCCTAATCCTCTTAATATCTTCTAATCCTCTTGCTTTTTAGATTTTCAGTCTTTAAACTGTTTTGAAACAGTTTTCTCAACTGTCATCTTTTTCTTTTTCTTTATTCTTTGTGCCTCATAAACTATCTTTAGGATAACTGGCATTTTTTTATTTGCAATTGTTGTAAGATTCATGTATCATTACTATATCATATCATGTCACTCATCTACATTTAAATAAAAATGAAAATAGTATTTAAAAAGTTTTATAGCATTCAAATAATTATTGATGACTAAATGGGTCAAATTAATCATAAATAAATAATACAGAGTGAGTTGTATTATCTTTAGCATATTGGTCACATTGGAGCAATTGGTCACACTGTAACATTTCATATGGTATTGGGATTATGAATAGAACTAGAAAATGCAATGTTTTAAATTCTGTGAAGCAATGTTCTGGCAAAAACATTGAAATAAACAATTGTTGTTTTAGTGAGACCTTCACAGGTAAAATATGAATTATTTTGGTTGTATACGTAACTTTGGTTGTAACTTGAGTTAATTTAAAATAGTTTTAATTCATATAAACCTTCATTTTTAACCGTTTTTTCACAGTTCATTTTTTTAGATAAGAAAAAAGTTGAAGTTTATAGGAATATGTTTTTTTGACTTAATGTTTGCAAATATTGTTTAATGATACCTTCAAACTTCCATTAAATGTTTCAATATTTTTATTAATAAAGTTTCTATAATAGATTACAAATGGCTAATTTAAACTATTTGTGTATAGTAAATTTTCTAAAAAGTAAATATATTTTTACATTACTTTTTACACATTACTTTTTTGAATAGATATTTTACTAACATTATTTTTTATAAATGACTTTGTTGCTTTTCTAGAATCTATAAAAAAGAAATTTCTAGAAAATTAGCAGCAGAAGCTCTTTATAAGCTAAAAAATTGTGGCACTTCTAGTTTTTTTCAATGGCAATTTGAAAGCAGTAGACAAAGCAATCTCTAAGCTTTTACAATTTTTTCTCATCTATAATACTTGTTTGACATGTAAGTGTATGAAGTGTTTTTAATAAACCCTCAAAATCTAAAATTTGTAGTTATAACTCTTCCCATAAAATCTAGACGACTTAAAATTTATTCATGTGTGTGACAGAAAATTTCAACAAAAATATATTTTCTTTTAAGGAAGTATCAAGTTGTAAGGAAATAGTTCATTAAGTTAAAAAGATGTGCTATAATTCAAACGTCAAATTCAAATTTGTTTTTTAAAATAGTTTATCTAAAAACCAGAATGAAAACTCTTGAGCTTTTGCTCATTTCACTAGATCTCTTAACATCTATTATTCATTTCACTAGATCTCTTAACATCTATTATTCATTTCACTAGATCTCTTAACATCTATTATTCATTTCACTAGATCTCTTAACATCTATTATTCATTTCACTAGATCTCTTAACATCTATTATTCATTTCACTAGATCTCTTAACATCTATTATTCATTTCACTAGATCTCTTAACATCTATTATTCATTTCACTAGATCTCTTAACATCTATTATTCATTTCACTAGATCTCTTAACATCTATTATTCATTTCACTAGATCTCTTAACATCTATTATTCATTTCACTAGATCTCTTAACATCTATTATTCATTTCACTAGATCTCTTAACATCTATTATTCATTTCACTAGATCTCTTAACATCTATTATTCATTTCACTAGATCTCTTAACATCTATTATTCATTTCACTAGATCTCTTAACATCTATTATTCATTTCACTAGATCTCTTAACATCTATTATTCATTTCACTAGATCTCTTAACATCTATTATTCATTTCACTAGATCTCTTAACATCTATTATTCATTTCACTAGATCTCTTAACATCTATTATTCATTTCACTAGATCTCTTAACATCTATTATTCATTTCACTAGATCTCTTAACATCTATTATTCATTTCACTAGATCTCTTAACATCTATTATTCATTTCACTAGATCTCTTAACATCTATTATTCATTTCACTAGATCTCTTAACATCTATTATTCATTTCACTAGATCTCTTAACATCTATTATTCATTTCACTAGATCTCTTAACATCTATTATTCATTTCACTAGATCTCTTAACATCTATTATTCATTTCACTAGATCTCTTAACATCTATTATTTATTTCACTAGATCTCTTAACATCTATTATTCATTTCACTAGATCTCTTAACATCTATTATTCATTTCACTAGATCTCTTAACATCTATTATTCATTTCACTAAATCTCTTAACATCTATTATTCATCTCTTCAACAGGTGTCAAGTCTGAGCAAGCTTTTTTTGTAGCTGAATTATTTTTGATAAATCAGAAGTGACAACTTGTGAGTTTGTCACATATTTGATTAAGTTATGAGCATAATCAAATTTATTTTCTCTAAAAAATCATTTCAAAAGTTACACTGTTTTCAATTATCTTCAATAAAAATGATGTTTGTATAAACTTTTTCTATATTGTCTTTTTTTAAATTAAAGAGAAAAATAATACTTTAAGTTCTTTTCTCTTTGATCTTTTTTTCTGGCCTCTATCTCAAATTTTTCTGGCCTCTATCTCAAATTTTTCATGTTTAGAGTACATTCTTCAGTACTTTTAAAAAATATTTAAATGATGTTATTAATGATAAAGTAATTAGAAAAAAGTAAACCATTATTTGTATCATAACTTAAATTCAAAAAATATCACTAAAGGAATAGAGGTTAACTTGCTCTCAATTTTTTTTTATAAAAAATATATACTTTTTAATAAAAGTATTAAAAACAGTTTTAATTACTTTACTATTATTAAAAACCATTTAATTTTAATTACTTTACTAATATAAAAAATGTGATTCCACAAATGCAAGCATTGAAGAAGGAAAGTAAGGGTATTTTTTTGTTCTAATCTCCTTTTTTTACAAAAATGATTACATTTCTCTGTGCCAGGCTTGTGGAGCCAAGCCGGAGCCGGAGAGCCGCTGTTTTTTCTGTGGAGCCGGAGTCGCAAAAATCGAGCGGCTTGCGGCTCTCGTGTGTTTTTTTACGGAATAGAATGTATATTTATTTTTTTACTGTAGACAAACTTTATTCATTTATTGTTAAAATAATTTGTTGAATGAATTATTTGTTGAACTTCTATTTTTTGAAAATATTTTTTTCTTACAGTTATGGTTATGCTGAAACTTAATAAAAATGAATATTTTAACGATTTTGTGCTCAACAAAATAATATCCTTTAATAAAATTTCTTGATATTCTTTATTAAAAAAAAAAAAATTATGGAAAAATAATGGAAACATTACAGTGATGCACATATTGCTTTATATTATATTTTTATACTGATACTATGCTGTTAAATATTTAATGTGCAATTCCATGATCAAAGGTTATTAATATCTTTGAAATTAAACTAAAGCATGCAATCGCTTAATTTGGAACAATAAATTTCGTTTAAAACTTGTCACTAACACATTATTAAATTATTTTTTTCGCGTAATTACATAAAGTAATTATGGTATTAATTAAAAACATCAACAAATGAATCAAAATGTTTCTCTTAATTAAAATGTCATGAAACATTTAGAAAAATAAAAAAAAAATTCTGCACAACTATTTACAAAGTCCTTCTACGTCGTTAATTTCAATTGCTTTTATGCAGCTGCGGTTTGAAATCTCAAGCTTTTGTCACATCGTCAATTTTAAACTTGGATGTTTACATCAAAGTTAACTTGCAAGCTAGACTTTTGGAATTTTATTGAAGTCACGATGTCACTTGTTGGTTCTGGCCTAATCTTGCTTCTTGTCATTATTCTAAGAAGAGTGACATCAAATTCATACCAAAAAGCTTGAATCCATCAATTTGCACACAATTCCGTCCCATTGAGAAGTTAATGTCATTAATAAGCGTAAATGTTTGCTTATTTATTTAAAATAATAAAAATATTAAAGTAAAAAGCACTTTTATAATCTTCAAGTTCCTTAGATTAAAATAAATATTTTTTGTAGTTGTTGCATTAGTTAAACTATTTTTAATTTTTTTGAATTTTTTATTGTTTTTAATTTAACGATCGCATGCTTTACCCAGTGGACATGGGACATACAAAAGAGGTCTTTTAAACGTCATTGTAGTGTTTTCAACGTCTTTTAAATGTTTTGGACGTCTTTGGAATGTTCAAATTACATCTTTTTTAGGTCTGGTGCCCACTGGGTATTCAGTGGGCATGGGACTCAGTGGGGGCATAAGAAAGACATCTTTTAAACGTCTTTTGAATGTTTGAGATGCCTTATGAACGTTTTGGACGTCTTTGGAACGTTAAAAGACGTCTTTTTTAAGTACTGTGCCCCCTTGGTAGAATTAAAACTAAAATTTGTAACAAAAACTTTAGTTTTAGGTAAATAATATATAAAAAAAAGGGTTGATTTACCCAAAAAAAAATTACTTTTCAAATGTAATATCTTGTAGTAGTAATACAATAACCTTGTAATCATGAGAGTTGGTTAAAAATTAATTGCTGTAATTGGTACAGTTTTGGGTTGGCAAATGTGGTTAAAAAAATAATTTTAAAATTTGCAGTTTTTGTTCATAAAGTTAAGAAGCCGGAGCTGAGCCAGGAGCCAAGCCGGAGCCGGGTATTTCTTAGGAGCTGGAGCTGAGCCGTCAAAAAAACAGTCGGCTCCACAAGCCTGCTCTGTGCATTGAAACTAGGGATGGAAATCACAGGATTTCGGAATTGAGAAATTTGTTATGTTTTAACTTAAATTTGTATTAAAACTTATATAAGACTTTTAAAAATTAATGAACCTAAGTATTTTAAATTATAAAACAATACCTTAAAATGGTAACACAGTATAAATAAAAATAACAAATAAAAAACAATATAAATACGCATTCTATTAAGGTCATAAAAATATTTTTGGCAATTTTTGACGTTAATTCTTTTAAAACTACAAAAATTATGAGAGGTTCAATTGCAGACTTTACTTCACCCTGTAAATATATTACCAAAGTACTTTTTTTAGCAAGTGTAGAAGCTTTGTCAATTATGATACAAATTTTTGAATTTTGATTGATGTTTTTAAAAACAGTTTTTTGTGCATCTGCATCGTAACATGTTCAACAATTCTTGTGGCAGTGCGTCTGGAATATAAACTATTTCCTATATTAACACCATTTTTTTCTTGTAATTCCAAAGCTGCTTCTATATCAAACAATGGTCTGTTTCGTTTAACAAGACTATAAACTGTGTTGAAAATTTTTACAGTAATGTTAATTGCTTCAGAATTTAATATTTTAATTACATTTGGTAAAACTTTTTTAGATTGAATAGATTGTTTGTTAGATTGATTAATTGTTTCTTGAATTTTTAAATGTGAGCATGAAGTGGAATGTTCTTTAATTTTTTTACGAAGAGACACTTGCCTTGTGTCTTTTTTAGTTCTATTAGGAATTATTGAACATGAAATCCACTCATTTAATATGTGAATATGTTTTTTGTTTTCTATTCCTAGGGTTTTTATTTTTGAACAGTCTTTACAACGTAATTTGCCATCTTTTACCACTAACCATTTATATTGTTCTGTGAACAAACTCAATTGTTTTTCTGTCCAACAATCTGGTAGTTGACTATTGCGCACTGTGCATGATTCCGATGATATTGTACTGATGTTTTATTTGAAATTGATTGTATAGGTTTAATATCTGCAGAATTTGTTTTCTCTAGTATTTCTTCATTGAGTTTTGTTTTTTTGACATTTACAAAGGACAATAAATTTCCTTGCGCTCTCTTCATTTTTTAATTAAAGAAAATCTAAAATTTAAATACTGCCATTATATTCACACAATTTTTAAACAAATGAATTTATATTATTTACAAATAATAATTTACAATTGTTTATTTATGTAAACTAAAAATTAAATTTTTTTTTTAATTTTTTTAATTTTTATTCACCTCCTCAAGGCCGAGAAGGCCACTACAGACGAGGAGGCTACTTATTTGTGGTTATAACCCTCTCTCAACTCTATAACTCCGAAACACGAACCTTGACGAGCAAGGCCGCTGCGCGGAGAAACGAGTTGAGCGCGGTACTACCAGGGACGTGGTGGGGATCGAACTCGAAACCACTCGTTTATGAAGCGAGCGCTCTACCACTACACCACTACCGCAATTAGACTAATTAATTGTATTTTGTATTGTCAATTCAGTAAACAAAGTAAGTTTTTATAGTAAATATAATCTTAGGGATTTTATCTTGAAATTTGAATTTTGAAAATTTTACAAGCAAATTCCAAAATTAAAATTGATTTTTTTGTGCTCTATCCAACTTTTAAATTGTGTTTTTGTTTGTTTACATATAAATGTTCTAAATTCTAATTCTATAAGAAGACATAAAGAAAAAAATGCTAAATTACAGTTATTCTGCATAATACAAGTACAGAGAAAACATTCCCAAATTGCAGTTAACAGTGTCATGTCTTCATTTCATTTGTAGTAATATTTTACGATTGGGAACAGTGTTTGTTTATTAAACTTCGTATTTTACGTACGTACATGATGTGTGTATTGTGTTGCGCACATGATATGTTTGCGAGTGTGTGGCACATCAGCGTGATGTGCATATTTTGCATAAACATACTATTAAAAAAGCTTATTTTTGGTTTTAGGGTTAATTTAACAAGCGGCTTGCCAAGTTTCAAAAATTTTAACAACCAGCTTGCGCGAGCCGAACCGAGCCGGCTCGGTTCGGCTCGCGCAAGCTGGTTGATAATATATATATATAAGTATATATATATATATAGAATATATATTTATATATAGTATGATATTATATTTTATATGTTTGAACATACATATTTTGTAGACAAGCAATTATGTTTTGAGTTTTTATTTTTAATAAAAAACAGAAAGAGAGAGTTTTAAAAGGAAAAGATTGCTAAGAGAATAAACAGTTACACAACCAAACAGCTACTATACCAAAGACAATGTACAAATTACTTGACTACAATTATAAGCTTAAACTTTATTGATTTTTACTTTTTTTTGACAATGTCAAAATCCCAAGAAATTTCGGAGACTAATCCCAGGATTTGGGGGTAAACAGTTTGTACTAAATTCCGGGATTGCCATCCCTAATTAAAATTTTTAATAAAACTTTGAAAAACAAAACTTCAATAGCTTAGGAGTAACCACTTCAAGTGACTGGAAAATTTTAATCCAAGTAAAACTTAGTTGTTTAACCTTTTAGTATGTTTGCTGTAGATAAACAAACTGCCTGGCTTTCCTTTTTAGCATCATCACCATTCTCTTCTGAATCAAATTAATCCTGGAAATAAATAAAGCCTAATAATACTATTTGATTCTCATTAGCTCTCAAAACTGAACATCATTTTCTGTAGACATATTTAACAAGTTGTCTTAGCAATTGATTTTTATCGCATTACCTTGTTTACTACGGCTAATATAGGAACCAAAGCTAAAGTTATTTTCCATTATATCATGTTAATTAGTTTTATTTAGTAACTATGTTTAATTTCTTATTTTTTTATATTTATTTCTTTATTCTTATCCATCTGTTAGTACATGGTTGTTAATCACTTTTTAATGTTTAAGAGTTTAATTCTTAATTGTAAATATAATAATAACTGTTCCCTTCTTTTCAATTGAAATATCAATTAGATATTATAATGTTTAGGCAATATTGATGAAGTAATCAAGTGTTGTTTAAATGAAACATTCAAGGGTAACAAATATTTTTCAATAACATACTAATATATTATTGATTATTTTTTTAAATTATATCTTTTTACTAAATACAGCTTTTTACTTTCTTTAAGGCTGATGATGATGATGATGATGATGATGATGATGATGATGATGATGATGATGATGATGATGATGATGATGATGATGATGATGGTGATGTTGATGAAGATGATGATGATGGCATTGGGATAGCGATAGTAATTGTGAAAATATTGTTAAAGTGTAGTGGATTTGCTAAGAATTTTCTAAAAAAATGATTTATTAGTGCAATAGAAAATGGTTTTTTTTAAAAACTGAATATTCATTTATTTCTGATCTTTAGCAAAAAAAATAAGTTTTTGTAAAAAAAAATAGTTGTTAGTGTTTATATATTTTTTTACTTTAGTTTCTTGGATGCTATGGGGTGACTGGTCAAATTGTAATATTTCATATGGCCATGGCTTTATGACTAGAACAAGGAAATGTAACTCTATGTTTAATGCTATTGAGTGTTGCTCTGGCAACAACATTGAAATACAGGATTGTTTTGGTAAAAAAATTTGTTTGTGTGTATGAAAATACCTATAGTTATCAAAAGTATTTTTATTTGAATGTGATTTTTATAAATTTAAATGATTAAGCTAGAGTTAGAAAAATACCCAGGTTAAGTACTGTTACCCTTTTTTAGTACTGTTACCCTTATTTTTTTAAATATGTTTTTTAAATCTGAACCAAGCTTAATAGGATGGTAGACATATCATACTTTTTAAATAATGAGATTTATTGACCATTGTTTACCAACACTTTCACTCAACCCATTATAAACCTTATCGAGCTCTGTCTTAGTTGCAATTATACATTTTAATATTATTTTGTTTGTTTACACTTAATATTTATATGACTATTTTTTGTTTAAAATTAACAATTTTTATAGTTTATTATACAATATTTTTGACATTTTCACAAAAGCTTTAGCAATAGTTAAGAGTACATGGGAAGATTTTATTATAATATTGTGCTTATAAATTTTAAAAGCCATTTTGTTGTATTCCAAAACTAATGTCAGTTATGTTTGATTAGGGTGGTCAATTTTTAAGTTTTTAACAAAATTTTTGGGGAGACCATTAATAAGATTTGATCTAATTGATTATGCCGACTGATCTAAAACAATTCTTAAGAATTTGGAATAGTTTTTTGATCCCCACAAGGCATTGGAAAGTTGTGTAGATAGTTGCCCAAGTATTGTGGATCGTTATTTGCTTTCTCAGTAAGGTTAATACTATATCTTTTTAAAATACTGAAAAATAATCCTTTAAAAGTTGGTTAGTTTACAACTATTTGTACCCCACAAAGTTTAGTTAAAATGTTGATAAATATTAATTTACAATTAATCATCTTACTAAATTGATATTTTATGGGGTATACTTTTAACAGATGAAAAAGCAATCATGACTTTTTTCTGATGAAAGATGATTAAAAAGTTCTATCTTTGTTACCCTAATTAACAACTGGAGGATAATTTTACTTACAAACAGTTATTGAAATAATTGTTTGTAAGAAAAATACTTTAGGTTTGGGTATCTTAGTAAGTTTCTCACCCATCATAGTTATTTCTGCATAACTGAGTTGTCAAACATAAAAAAACTACCTGCTCCTCAGCTAAGTATCCCAAGTGTTGTTTAATAGATCTTTGCATCTTCATGGTCAATTGGTTTAAACTTTCTTCATATAAAACCATATAAAAGAAATGCAAGTCACCTGTTGGACCCCAGTCATAATAGCAGCTTACAAACAGTACTTTTAATAAAGTAGACATATGCATATACTGTTTATTATTAATATAATTAATTTTTGTTCCTTCTTCATTGAACATAAAAATATGAACAACCCTTGGAATTAGGAAAAATGAGACAATAATTTTCTAACCTCAAGTTTTTAGAGACTTGCGTCAAGTCGGTGAAAAAAATTTTTTCACCGACTTGACGCAAAGTCTTACCATAAAACATAGAAGTGAGGTCAGCAATTTTTTGCCAACCTCAAACTCTTTGAGGTTGGCATTGCCAAATATTGTTCATAATTTCGAGGGCTAAGAACGAGAGAGTAAAAACAAATTTGCAATGATAAATGGCTTTTAAAATTCATTTTGCATTATGGTCAAAACCTTCATAGTAGCAACAGTATACAGTCCTCTGTTTGCAGCTGTTATATATATTAATTTCCACTTGTCAATTAGCTTCATCACTGAACAAAATTGTGTTTGATCAGTTTCATAAAATTTTTTAGGAGAATCTAGCAATTTATGAGGTGGTCCTCCATACAAAGCAAGTTGCTTTACCTTTTTTCTAGTTGCTTCTTTGAATATTTTTTCATCCCATTAAATTTCAACAAATTTAGGTGGAATCCAAGTTTCTTAAAATTAATTTTGCTTTTTTAATTCTGTTTACAGATCTTCATCTATGAACTGATATTTCTAGAAAGTGTAGTATTAGCTGTTTCACCTACTGATATAGTTTTTCCTGAAATAAGTAGCTGCTGTCTTTTACTAATACTAGATCCATTGGCTGCTGCACACATTTCTTTTACCAGTTTTCTTTGAATTTTCAGTGTTATTGAAGATTTGGCTTGATGGTTTTTTATTTCTCCTTCGTATCCATCAGTAATATCTTTAGAAAATAGCATACTCATAAAATACAATATCATTAATGGTTGAATAAAATTCAGAGTTTTTTAGTTGCTGACTTTGATTATGAAATATTTTAATAAGATTAATTCCTATTTAATTCTTTCATTTTTTTAAATGCAGCTTTTATTTTTCATGATGCTTTAGTGTAACATCTTTTTCAGCAAAGGTTTTGTATACTTTAGCCATTAAGCCCATTTTATGAAATTCCCAGTAGGCCTCTCATATTAGGTGGTATATTAAGTAGACTATTGAGTTTTAATTTAAAGGATGTAGTTTTATGTTATACTATTTTTTTCTATTCTTGTTTCAGGAATTTTTCAGTGACTCATATTCTCCAAAATATATTTTTGCAATACAGATCTATGCAATGTCTTTCCTCCTTTAAGGTTATCTGAGGAAAAACCGTAATCAAATGATTTAAGTGTCTTTTTAAATTAATATGGTAAATATATACTAGTAAAACTCTTGGTTTCCCAAAGGCTAAAAATGGTGTCTGGATGAAAATACTTATCTTGGACTAATGTTAACTGCATTAGTCTATTGAGTTTTAAAGTTTTCCAGGCAAAGACTTGATGGTTATTTCTATATTTTTTTTGAATTATGTTTTTAAAAAAATATGCAAATTTTTTGTATATTTTTTTAAATTATGAATTTAAAAAATATATGCAAATTTTTTGTATATATTTTTTTAAATTATGAATTTTAAAAAAATATACAGATTTTTTGTATATATTTTTTAAATTGCAAATTAAAATATACAAAAATCTTTGTTTCTTGATTTGTTTTTTATCTCTGACTAAAGTCAAGTCTGTCCTTAATTTCTTTATGTACTTCTTAACATGGTTAAAGACATATTATGATTTCACTAAAACTTCTCTTGTACTTTTTTTATAACACTTTTCTTACTACCACTTTAAAGCTGACTTTTTTTTTCTTTTTTTTCCATCAGGAAGACTTCCTTGGGAACAAACAGCTTTTGATCATTGCAAGAAAATGATTTAAAAAGGTATTTTTCAATTCTCAGAAGTTAGGTTTCATAGACTTTTAGAAAACCTTTAGTTGTGACATGAACAAAATCTTGTCTAATATTTTGTCTTTTATTACCTTTTTTTCACACTTTATTATTCTCTATTTAACAAGTGCTTTACTAAAGTTTGTGTTCCTGTCTGCCTGAAAAAAATATAAAGATCGCTCTGACCTTTTTAGCCTTCTAGCCCATCTAGCGCCCAGTTTTTTTACTATTATTAGCAAATTCTTTGAATCTTTAATTTACAAATTTTTAATATTTCATCTTAAGTTTGAAAATCTTCCTATTCATTATAACATAATAATCTTATATTTTATACATTATAAAAATTTTTAAATAACAATATAAGTTTAAAAATTTACTATTGTACGTTAGTGAGGCAAAGGCTATTGTTCTTTTTGATGTATGACTCACAATAAAGTCTGGCATGCTCTCTTTGTTCTCTCTACATATGGTGTAGCTAGTTTGAAAGTTTGAAAAAAATAAAGAAAATCCTAAATACCAGAAATTTAGCTCCTACTGGTAAAGTTGCTGGAACTAATTGGAGTCAACACTACAGGTTGGCAATAAATTGCCAACCTCTAACTATTAGAGGTGAATAAAAAAAATTTGACAAAAGGGGTAACCATAAAACATAAAAACAAAGTTGGCGATTTTTTGCCGACTGCAAACACTTTTAGTTTAACAGTTATGTCGGCGTTGCCGAATGATGACCCTAATTCCGAGGGCCGCATAAAATCAGCTATTTAGTTAAATAAAATGCCTCTCCTAAGTAAATTTGCCAAATATAAAAAGTTAACAAATATAAGTAAGCTTACCATTTTGCAATATGTGTGTTACATTTTTTTTTTAAGTTAAAGTTTAATAAGACAAATTAATAACATAAAAATATGGTAACCAATAGTAATGATAATTTAGTAAAGTTATTAAACTTCTTGATTCTTTTAAGAATGGTCAACATGGAGTGAATGTTCTGTAACATGTGGAGATGGTGTTAGAAGTAGAAGTTTCATAAATATGTTAATGAATCGTGTTATTGAACCTTGCAATATAGTTAGCTGTCCAGGTATTAACATAAATATATACATTGCTTGCTTGTGTTTGTGTGTCTTTGTGTATGTGTGTGTGTTTATTATCGTTATGGCATTTTTCTAACCCCATATTAATAAGTGACCAGGGCCCCGGCCCCAGCTAAAAATAAGACTTTTTTTAAACCCGACCCTGGCTAAACTATAAGATTTAGCAGGGGTTAATAGCCAGGGCTAAAAAAAATTTATAATATTTTATATATTATAATTTTATTACATTTACTATTTATTATATACTTAATTTTTTTTAATTATTTATTATTAAAATGAGTTTTGTTGTCTCACAAAAATAGCAGATTAAAAGTCCAGAGTTTAAATCCATAAGCCACAGCAACCCTTAGCAAGCAACCCTTAGCAACCCACTTCTAGCCCAAGACTCTTACAGAAGAGAAATCAGATTAAAAATCAGCTCCTTGTTCTAAGCAATCAAAAAGTAAAGTTTTTTTTCCAGACAAGAGCATAAAGTTGAGTCATCAACAAATAGAGCCACTTTAGATGTTAAATTTTCATGAAGATTGATATTGTAGATAAGAAACGATACAGGAGGTAAAGATTTAAGGTTACCACAAGATACCTTGTGGTACCCTTAAAGTTACTTGAAATAAAGAAGAGTGTAGGCCTTCAAGAATAACTTTATTACTGCAGTTAGTAAGAAATAATTGAGTAATCTCAAAACCTTTACATAAAGAAACAAATAACAGAGTGAAGACTAATCGTACGATAGTTGGAGAGGTCAAAGTGTTTTCTAGAGTTTTTGAAAAAATGGAACTACTTATTAAGCACTTTTTAACAATTAAAAATTAAATATTATATAATTAATAATATTAAATGTTAGACTTACTTTAGTTAATGACAATGTTGAAGACTAACCAAAAGTCTCTAGAACCTGACATCTGATATAACGATAAAAAATTTAGTAAACTGAGAATAACAGAGCTTAACATCAGGCGGAACCTTTTTTACATTGGCTTCTTGGAATAATAAAAGGACATTTGTTCTTAAGAGAGATGTTTTATAATAAAGATAAAATAAATGATCAATTAAGCAACTGCTCAAGATAGTGAGAAATATGGAATATAAAGAGGTTTTACTTAAAATTGAATAGTAGGAATAAAAGCTTAGAAATAAAAGACTTTAAGTCCAGAAGGAATAAAAGCTTCTGAAATGCGCTTTGTTATATGCTTACATATTATGGACATTAACATTAATGTTTGCTATTTATTTAGATGCTGGCATGCAATATCCTTTCATATTTATATAAATTTTAGTATTTATATGGTGTAGTATTTGCCAAAGGAAAAAATGATCAGATTGATGCGAGGTGTGACTCTAGCAAGACAAGAAAAGGAGGCATAATCTTAGACAGATTAGAAAAAACATTGTATCGAATAACGTTTGTTAGAAAAGATTAAAGTAATTTAGGTATCAACATGTAGAGAGGTAGCATCTTCAGTAAAAAATGGTAGTGGTAGAAATAAGAAAACTTAAAGAGAGTGCCTTATATATTGTATGAATGAGCTTTAGTTAAGAATAAAAATGCTCTAGATTGTTTATATTAGAGAAACAGCATAAAAGAGGAAGGCTAAAGCCTAATGATGATAATGATCATCATCATCACCACCATCAGGCTTTAGCCTTCCTCTTTTATGCTGTTGATGATAATAATGATGATCATGATGATGATGGTGATGATGATGATGATCATGATGATGATCATGATGATAATGATGGTAATGATGATTATGATTACCATGTTGATCATAATGATATTTATATACACATATATATTCAAGATATAACATGAGTTTTGAATAAAAAAATATACTTTAGGATGTATAAATTTATATGCAGCCCCGGTCACAAACCCGGCCTAGGCCCCAGCCCTGGCCCTGGTCAAATATCAACTCCGGTTGTTTACTAACCCATATTTCTGTGTTATAAATTAATGAACTTTAGTCCAAAAAATAAAAAATAAATTTTAAGTTTATTTCCTTGTTTTAAATGTTCACTCTCAAATTAAGAATTCAATTTAACATGCACATACACTACCGGCAATTAATTTGAGACCAGTGATGAGAAAAGAGTAATTCTATTAAAAATCAATTAAATCTATCTATTATATTTTCGTTTATGTTTTTTTTTAATCTTAGTGAATAAAGAAACTACAAATTAGTTCATAAAATATACTTTATTTAGTTTTCTTCAAATATTTCTAAACAAATATTTCTAAACAAATACAACTTAACAAACATTAAAAAGTTAAATTATAATATCTTTATTATTTTGCACAAGTTTCAAACTTTGCAATCATCAAAATAACTACCACGTTTCTTCATTACTGCTTCACATATTCTTGGCATACGAAAGATTAATTTGTTTAAAGTTTCCATGGTTACAGCTTTTGAAGCCTTTTGCAGTAACTCCCATAAATGTTCCTCAGGTTTTACTTGGAATTTCTTTACATACCGATCTATTTCATCGCAAAGAAGCTCAATGGGATTGAGTTCTGGTGACTGTGCAGGCCAATCCATTAAAGTAAGGGTTTTTTCTTGTACTAGTTGGCTCAGGTAATTTGTAATAAGTTTAGATTTGTGCTTTGGGTCATTATCTTACATAAAAATAGGCTGGCGTTGAACCACCATTCGATGAGCAGATGGAATGACATGATTCTCCAAAATTTCTCTGTATTGCTCCTTTTTCATAACTCCAAGAACTCTGATCAAGTCTCTTATTTTGTGACCTGCAAAACAACCCCATACCATTATTGAACCTCTTCCATGCTTAACAGTAGGCACAATGCACTGCAGAATGTAACGTTCATTCTGGTGCCAGCGTACAAATATTCTTCTGTTGTTGCCAAATAATTCAAACTTGGACTCATTGCTCTATACTACTGTTTTCCATTGACTTATTGTCCAGTTGGCATGTTTGTGAATCCATTGTAGTCGTTTCACCTTGTTTGCTTTCCTTAGCAATGATTTTTTGGCAGCTACACGCCCCCTAAGTCCAACTTTCATCAAACGGTTTCTTATTGTCCGGACACAAACAGGTTTTTCAGCAGTTTCATTGTATTCTCTCATTATTTGTGGAGCTGTTAATTTTTTGTTTGACATAGATAATCTCGTAATACGACGATCACAATGTTCATCTATTTTTCTAGGCTGCCCAGGTCATGGTAAGTCACAATATTGACCAGTTTCTTTGAAATGCTTGATTGTATTGTAAACACCAGTCTTTGATATTTTTATTATTTCAACAATTTTTTTTTCTGAAACACCTTCATCAAGTAAAACGATGCAAACTCTCTGTTCAAGGCTTAATTCTCGAACTGGAGCCATTTTAGCACCGCAAAATAGAAACTAAAAAAAAATAAACAGTTCAAATGATACAATATTAGTATATTCATTTGCAAGTCATTATATACTATATTGGATCTACATAAAGTATCTACAAGAAGCTACCAATGAGAAAAATTATATTTTCAATATCAATTACAAGTCATTAATCAAAATTAAGTAACAGTTAAAAGTAATACATGTATTGTCTTTTATGCTGGAAGAACTCAGCACATACACTTTTGTATACTTTTGTACATAAGCAAATTTTTGGTTGTAAAAATGCCCATATCCTATTCTATCCACTTATTTATTGTGCTCTATTTATTTTTGATCCAAAAATAAAGAAGTGCCAATGTGATAATCAGATATATTTATTTTTGAAATAAAAATACCATTTTTAACCGCTGGTCTAAAATTAATTGCCGGTAGTGTACATCCTGTACAGATCACAATATTTTTTGTCTAAATAGTTGCAATTCTATATTACTATTAGAATTGCTGTTTTTTTTTTCCTCAAACTTTCAAACAATATATATATATCAAATTATATATGTATATACAAATAGTATTGCGTACTAAGGTAAGCAATCTGACGTCATACTGAAATAGCCTGCTGCTGCTTTAGTACATACATCGACTGACAAATAGCCTGACTTGCAGTGGAGTGCTGCTACATCGACTGAGGGTTTGGGATGGGGCAGCAATCGTTTTATTCATCATTCTTCGTTTTTTTTTCTTTTTCGAAAAAAACGGTACAGCTTAAGGTAAGCAGAAAAAGTGAGCAAATGCTTATCAAAACACGCTTTAGTAAGTGTGTATATATATATATATATATATATATATATATATATATATATATATATATATATATATATATATATATATATATATATATATATATATTTATGTATATATCAAGGCTCAATTTAACAGTTGGACATCGGACATTGTCCGGCTAAAACTTCAGATTGTCTGATCAATTTAAAAAGTAATCGGACCTTTTGAGCAGCGGGAATTAATTTCTACAAAATAAATACTTTCTTATTGAAATAACTGATGAATAAACAAAACGATTCCTTATGAAAAAGAAAAAAAATAGCTTTAAAATAACACTCAAAAAGCTTGAAGTGAAAATTACTTTTTGTTACGTTTTTAATTGCATTTGAAAAAAATTTACTTTAAAAACTTATCTTTTGAAACATTTTAAAGTAACATTAAACGCTTTTAGAAATTACTTATATTGGTTGTTCAATAAATGAACGAATTTTATTTAAATAATTGAAAAGTGAAATTAAATTATAGAAAAGAAAAAAATATAATATTTTAAAGTTCTATTGAACATTTTTTACAAAAAGTTGTACAAAAATTAATTGTTTAAAAAAAAACGTAGTCTTTTTAAAATAATAATTTTTAATCATTTCATGCTTTGATTAGTCAAGTTTAAAAAAAAAAACATTTGAACAATTCTTTGTCAAAATAAAAACAAAAAAAAATTAAAACAGTCAAATCGTGGGAAGATATAACTTATGGTACTAGGTAAAATGCGAACTGCGAACCGCGAACCGGTAAAATGCAAACTTTTTTGCGAACCATCTTCCTATTGGTTGTTAATGATGTAATGTTTTATTTCTGTTAAATAA